TTTGAGCGTAACGTGATTCAGTCTCTGTAAGGGCCCTAGAAGCAAATGCCACTGGTCTGTTGTTCTGCAGGCAAATGGCACCCAACCCATGTTGTGAGGCATCCGCAGATAATACAACAGGCTGGTGCACATCGAAGTAGTGGAGCACAGGAGGGGCGGTGATGAGTTCTTTAATTTTGGTGAAGGCGGTCATGTGGTGTTCCTGCCAGCTCCATGGCACATCCTGATGCAGGAGTTGTCGTAGAGGTGCTGTGATTGCGCTGTAATTTGGGATGAACTTGGACAAGTAGTTAGTCATGCCCAAGAACCTCTGGAGTCCATGTTTGTCGTCTGGGGGCACCATGAGACGGATAGCAGCAGTTTTGTCAGGGTCGGCCTTCACACCCTGGTCAGTGAGTAGATGGCCCACATACCCTCTGACACTCGAAAGCGGCATTTGTCAGCATTTAGCTTGAGGTTGACAGCACGTGCTCTGTCCAGGACCTGGCGATGGCGTAAATCGTGCTCCTCCACTGTGTGGCCCCACACTAGGATGTCATCAACAACGATTGCACATGGCTGCCCTTCAAAGAGTTGCTCCATGCACCTTTGAAAAACTTCGCTGCCAGTGGAAATGCCATACGGCATACGAAGAAATGAATAGCGACGCACAGGGGTCATGAACGTAGTTAGCCTGGATGACTCCTCACTGAGAGGTATCTGCCAGAAACCACACCTTGCATCGAGGATGCTGAACACCTTGGCCCCTGGCATGTTTGCAATCACCTGTTCAACAGTTTTCATAGGATGGTGTGGCCTGAGAAGTGCTTTGTTGAGGTGAACCGGGTCGATGCACAGTCTTATGCTGCCATCTTTCTTGCAGGCAGCCACCATTGCTGACACCCACTCAGTGGGCTCCTGGATCGATTTGATGACTCCCAACTTAGTCATTCTGTCTAGTTCCTCAATAAGTTTGTCTTTCATTGCCAATGGTACTCGTCTGGGTGCACATATTGTGGGGTGCACTGAGTTATCCAGACGCATGTGATACACGACAGGCAGCTTACCTATAGTGCTGCAGTCGAACAGATCTTTGTATTCGATGAGCTCTTGGGCCAGTTGCTGAATGGCATGCACCTCTGGCCCAAGGTGTACAAGACCTAACTTGACACTGTCATTGAGACCTAGTATGGGTTTCACATCACTATTTAAAACGTAGAACTGTAGTGTCCCACATGTGAAAGTAATGTCTGTGACACCAACAGTCTCTATTACCTGACCTCCATAAGCTACAAGGTTGACCTTACGCCTGTGGTCAATGCGAGCACCGGGGTCAATGCGCTGTAGTAGAATGTTTGATATTACGTTACATCTAGCTCCTGTATCAATCTTGAGCTTCAACTGCTTATCATTGTTTTCCATGGACAGGTTAGTGAATATCTCACCTCTCTGTGCTGGCATCTCTATGCTTTCACAGTAGAACAGGTCTGCTGGTTCTTGGGCTGTCTGCGTGTCAAGCTCATTTATTTTGTGTGCACACCTGCTCCTGCTTGCATTGGGTTGTGATTTATTGAACTGGGGTGAGGATTGCACTGGCCTGGCATGCAACTTAATTGACCTGCAACACTTGGAGAAGTGGTTCCACTTCCCACATGCGTTACAACGTTTGCTGTAAGCAGGACAACTGCTGCGGTCAGATGCATGATGCCCTCCACAATTAGAGCATGAGATTTGTATTGCACAGACCTCTGCTTCTTTCTTTAGCTCTCTGTTGCCCTTTTCCGACTGTTCGTGCAGCATGCAGATTTCAATAGCTGCGTTTAGAGTTAGTTTTTTTTCTTTCAATAGATGTGAGCGGATGCTGTCGTTTTGAATGCCGCACACTAGGCGGTCTCTAATAAGTTCGTCATGTAGCGTGCCAAATTCGCATTTCTTTGCAAGCGTTTTTAGCGTGGATATATATGACTGTATCGTCTCGTGCGGCTTCTGGCACGTTGTATTAAATGCGTGCCGGTCCACTATCACATTTTTTACAGGAAGGTATAATTCTTCAAATTTCCTCACCAGGACATCGGAGTTCTCTGGGTCCTCTCCCTCCGCAAAAGAGAAAGTGTCGTATTTATCCAATGCATCAGGACCAGCGAGATTTAAAAAGGTGTAAGCGTTTACTTTCTCGCTCGCTGCTGATAGCCCGGCGTTGCTGTACACGCGCCATTCGCGCTTGAACTTTACCCAGTTGTCGGCGATGTTTTCATCAAAGACGAGCGGGTCAATACGGCGTAGTCCTCGAGCCATGTTTCGGAGTAGCTGTCTTCTGACACCATGTAGATGTGCGTATATAGACCACAGACACGCACCAGCTGTGTAGCGATTAGTCTGGTTCCTTTATTCAGTACCCGCACAATCCAATTCCTTTCTTTTTACTTCCCTATCCCAGCCTGCACTCGCCACTGATGTCACTTCCTAAATAGGGATGGTTTTCGTGGTATCAGTAACCAATCTACATCCTGTTTGCCTGTGGTGGTATTGATGTTCGACTTGATGGGCAGAATCTCAGTACATTGGAAATTAGAAGCAAACAAGATGCACCTGAGTGTAACCTTGGGCTGCAAGGTTA